GGAGGCGGCCAAGCTCCCCGCAAAAAACTGAGTCCCTTTGATAGGGTTGCAAGGGATAAGAAAATAATAGAAAAGGGAAAATAATGGAAATAAAAGAATACACAGAGATGAAGGTATAGTTTTATAGATTTATAAAGATTATAGGCAAAGTATGTGCTCAGTGGGCCTGGATTTCTCCATCAATCTCAAAGGCCATGAATGAAGTCTTACATGGTCATTTATAGGTACAGTGATAAGTTTCCAGAGGCAACAGATTTACATAAGAGCAGGTAGTTCCTCTGGGTTAACAGTTTTTCAAAAGGCTTCTACAGATCCCTCAACTAAATCTATCTACATGAACAAATGGTTATAAAATCTTTCAAAGATTAACTTCTAAGTTCTAAGGTAAATTTATCACTTAACAGAGGGGTTAAATGGAGATATATTTGCTCCATATTTTCTTTATCAGAAAATTTTCTTATTGTGAATATTTTCTTTATTGTGAAAGGAGACAGGTAGTCCGGAGTTTTAAGCAGGAACTGTCCTTTGGGCTAATTGTTTACAGCCATGGGCGGCTGCCTGTTCAGGGCGGGCACTCTTTTATCAGCTCTCATCCTGTAGTTTTTAACAGATCTACTTTGCTTTACAAAGCAAATCCAAACCTTTAGGTCTGAGAAACGCGGCGCCTTGTGGGATACAGCCGCTACCGTCTTTCAGAGATGCCCTCCTGAGGTAAAACAGCTTTTGATATGCAAATTAACACATTCACATATTCTTTCAGGGCAAGGCTCTGCAAAATTCCTGAGACATTTCCTGTCTCCAATCTATTTATATTAATTCATGGAGCAACATCCATATAGTTTTCCCATTGTCAACTTCATTTAGTTCTGATTTAGTCTTATTAATTTCACTTCTTCTGCTGGGTTTGGGGTCGATCTGTTCTTCTTTTTCCAGTTCTTTGATTCGATTCCTTAGGTTGTCTATTTGTGATCTTTTTGACTTTTGGATATGGGCATTTATGGAAATAAACTTTCCTCTCAGGACAGCTTTGGCTGTATCCCACAGATTTTGATAACTTGTGTCACCTTTGTCATTTAGTTCAAAGAATCTTTTGATTTCCATCTTTATTTCCTCGTTTATGAAGTCATCATTTAGTAGAAGGTTGTTTAATTTCCATGACTTTGTGTAGCGATGACAGTTTCTGTTGGGGTTGATTTCTATTTTTATTCCACTGTGATCTGAGAAGATATACGGTATCATTTCTATTTTTTTAAATTTTTTGAGACATGCTTTGTGTCCTAGAATATGGTCAATCTTAGAGAATGCCCCATGAGCTGATGAGAAGAAAGTATATTCAGTGGTTTTGGGGTAGAATGTCCTGTAAATGTTGGTCAGACCCATTTGTTCTAGAGTTCTGTTTAAGTCCATTATTTCTTTGTTAATTTTCTGTTTGGAGGATCTGTCCTGTGCTGTCAGTGGGGTGTTGAAGTCTCCGACTATTATGGTGTTGCTGTTTATCAATTTGTTTAGATCTAGTAGAGTTTGCTTTATGAATCTGGGTGCACCTAAGTTGGGTGCATACATATTTAGAATTGTTACGTCTTCTTGTTGAACTTTACCCTTCACCATTATATAGTGACCCTCTTTGTCTTTCATTACTTTTGTTGATTTAAAAACTAAGTTATCTGAGATCAAAACTACCACACCAGCCTTCTTTTGGCTTCCATTTGCTTTAAATATGGATTTCCACCCCTTTACCTTTAGTCTGAATGCATCCTTGCAGGTTAGATGTGTTTCCTGAAGACAGCAGATACTTGGCTTGTATTTTTTTATCCTTTCGGCCAGCCTATGTCTCTTGAGTGGGGAGTTCAAGCCATTCATGTTTATTGAGAGAACTAATAGGTGGGACAAATTTCTGTTTATCCTGTTGGGTTGAACTTTGTTGCTTTGTTTCCTTTCTTGAGCCATTATGGTATCTGGCCTTTTACCTTTAGCTTTTGAGTGGTTTTACATTCGTGAGTGTTTATTTTGCTGATCCGTCTGTAACTCTGTTTTGAGTACTTCTTGGAGGGCTCGTATTGTCTTGGTGAATTTCCTTAGTCTTTGCTTATCTGAGAATGTCTTTATTTCTCCTTCATATACAAAACTTAGTTTTGCAGCATATAAGATTCTGCGCTGGGCATCATTCTGTTTCAGAAGAGTGAGAATGGGGCCCCAGTCTCTTCTTGCTTGTAAGGTTTCAGTTGAGAAGTCTGGCATTATTCAGATGGGCTTTCCTTTGTATGTTACTTGTTTCTTTCACCTTACGGTTCATAGAAGGGCCTCTTTAGTGGATATTTTGGTCAGTCTGATGACTGCATGTCGTGGTGTCTTCCTGTTTGTATTGAATCTCCCAGGGGTCCTTTGAGCTTCTTGTACCTGGATATCTAGATTTTTAGCAAGGCCTTGGAAATTTCCGTCTATTATATCTTCAAACAGCTTATCCCACCCTTGCGTGTTTTCTTCTTCACCTCCAGGAATATCCGTAAGTCTCAAGTTAGGCTTCTTCACATAATCCCACATTTCTTGTAGGCTTTGCTCTTTTCTCTTATTTCTCTGCTCTATCTCTGTGACTGACTCATTTAATTGGAAAGTGTTATCTTCAATCTCTGAGATTCTTTCTTCTGTTTGATCTACCCTGTTCTTTAGGTTTTCCACTGTGTTCTGTAGCTCCCTGAATAAATTCTTCATTTCCAGGAGTTCGGTTTGATTTTTCTTTAATATTTCAATTTCTTTAGTGAATTTTTCTTCCACGTCCTGCATCTTTTTTGTGGTTTCTTTGTGTTGGTTATCCATTTTTTCTTACATATTGAGTTTTCTCACAATCCATGTTTGAAATTCTTCTTCCATCATTTTAGTGTTCTGAATTTGGTTAATATCCATTGCTAGAGAGCTGGTGTTCCTCTTTGGGGGTGTTCTTTCCGTTTGATTCTTCATACTTCCAGAGTTCTTTCGCTGAGACCTTCCCATCTGGATCAGCCATTGCTTCCCACCTTTCAGTTTTCGCTTGGAAAGTAAAACGCCCTGTATAGGCTCTGTTCCTATAGATTATGTAGGAGCAAGGCAGATCGCAGCTGCTGCCTAGCAGCCTGGATGTGTGCACTTCTATGGTTCCTTCATCTGCTGCTAGGGGGAGCCTCTAATATGTTGTTCAGAGTTCTTCTACCATAGTTGGGAGGCCACTCCTGATGGCAGGCGTTACTTGGGGAGCCTGTTTTGTCCTCTTGCCAGGATTTTTGTTCCCTGACTACAGACCTCACTGTTGGCAGCTCACTGGAGGTGGAGATCCAGCCCCAGAGTTATGATCCTATTGGGTGACCTAAACCAGTCTGACAAGCAAAGTCACTGGGCTGTCAACTATTGATCTGCACCAAGGCCCCACAGATTCACACTAGTTGCAGAGGGAAAGTGGCTTTTCTTGTCTCACCTTATCTCCAGGGGTGGAGCCTACCACTTTTGGCGCGAAAGATGTTGGCTAGGGGGAGGGGATGGTGCCCCAGTCCGCCCAGTGCCCCAGTGCCTGTAACTCCCACAGGCATTAGCCTCCCACGACTAAGGAAGTATTCAGAATTCACCCATCAAGACGGCCCTGGCTAGTTGACCATAGGTTGTGTAAGGGCGGAGCTTGTCGTGAGAGATCCCGTGCTGGGGAAAGGGAGCTGCCCGACACTGTATCACACCGCAGCGGCTGGGTTGTGGACCCCGAAAATGGCGACCACTGCCCACAGAGCGCTAACATTGGGGGCAACTGTTCAGGAGATGGCAGGTGCCAGATCGGGGAGCTGAGTCATAAGGATGCCCCGTTGTCTGTTTTATGTCACCCTCCCACAATCTCATGTCTGTCCAGCAGGAGCTCTCGCTCTTACTGACCTACCTTGAGTGGGCCTATTCGCCCACAGCAGTCTCCAGGTTAGAGACCCCTACTTAGTGATCACCTCCGTTGATCTGGACCCGCTGGGTGCCAGAGGCAAGCTTCCTGTCTCCTAACTACCTCCAGCGGTAGCTCAGACCAGTGCCTCCCCCGCCTAGTGCAGCCCTAGCACAGAGCTCTGGGGAGTTCAAGATGCTTCCCGCTATTGTCTCCTCTCCATAGAGCCCCACATCTCCTGCCATGATTTTGCACATTCAGGCAGGTCCCTGTCTGAGTGCATGTGGAGATCAGTGGGGAAGCAAGATGCTCTCCTGTGGGTCTGATCCCACTTCACCTGCTGGCTGGGCAGGCGCAGCAGTCCCACGCTCTATTCTCTATTGTTTGTCTAACACTCTCCAGATTTCGCGATCCTATCTCCCGTTCACCTTTTTTTTCCCCCTAGTTTGTGTGTCCCACACTGATTCTCTACTGATTCACAATGCTGTTCTTGCGGGAGAGCGATCCACTCATGTGTAGCAGACCAAGATCTACGCCTCTTTCTCTGGGAGCAGGAATCCAGGAGGTTACCTTTACTCCACCATTTCCCGCCCCCCCCAGCATATATATTTTTTAAAGTTCTTTTTTGTCTTTTGAAGAGATTCTACACACCTGAGACTATGTTATAGACAGTTACTGAAAGGCTCCAGGTACCTCTTAATATGTTTTCAGCAAAAGTAAAATACTTTTGTTCTGTACACTGTGGCAAAATGTCATCAGAAGAAATTAGATTCCAGGAAGAACTTCTAAAACAAGCAGCTCATTGAATTACTCTTAAATTTTATTAATGTCTTCAGTTGTGCATCATTTAAAATGAGACATGTGCTTTAAAAAGTATTCTTATACATAAATAGACCAAGGAACAGTTAAGTAATTGATCCCTAAAAACATGCACATCAATTTTATACAGGTGTGTATAAGAAAGGGAAATAAGCTTTAAGTCTTTTTCTTCAGATTAAAAACATTTGGAAATTATTATTCAGGAACGTCAAATGTTTTTCTGGAACAAATGTATTTCCCAATAGGAAATGCTGATGTAATTAAAATGTATTAGTGTTGATAAAGAGGACTGGAAAAACAGTTGTGCTATATGCATGATTAACAAGAAAAGACTTAACAGTGGACCTAGGATACATGTCAAATAAATGAATCAGATTTACATGGAATAACATGAAAGATTTACATGGAATAACAGGAATAATCAGATTTACATGGAAAGATTTATGTGGAATAACAGGTACTGTGAGCCAGATTAAGGGACACATATATTCAAGGCACATGACTAGGCTAAACAGGTGGCTAGGTTCTATAGACTAATCGTTCTTTCATTGGGAAAGAGTAAAATGTAATATAATTTTCACTTAATGGCACTTATTGATAAATAAATACAATGAGAGCTAGGGCAGCAAATGTCCTCCTTTCAGATACACACCCAAAGTACATACTAGGTAACAGATGCCAGAATGGCTGAAGTAGTATGACTACAGTCCAATTTTCTTACACTGCAGTTAAATGGATGTTAACCTATTTTGTATTGTTTCTATACATTATACTGTCTATTCTGTTTGAAGTTTCACAAAAGAATTCTTCAAAACTAGGCATATTAAAGAATTTATTAAAGCCCAAAGAATGCTAAACTATTGTTTAACAGAAGTCAAACCCAAACCTTTGAGTTGACTGCTGACTGTATTCAGTTTGAGCTTTTCCTGGAATGGAAAAATTTTCCCACATTACCTCTCTTTGTACAACTAAGATGCTAGAACATCCACTGTGGTTCCCTTCTTTTTCTTTGTGAGTCAGAGGAATTTGCCTCCCCACCCCTCCACTACCCATTCTATTAACAATTGCCCTAAATATCCACAGAAGAAAAAGGAATATATAAAAAAACCTCAACCTTCAGCAATACTTAAACCATCATCTTCTCAAATCAACTATAATGGGGAAACAGGATGTCAAGCTATCCACTGTATTGTGAACGATCAACACACTGAACTTAATTCCAAAAAGTGAATACTAGGAGGAAAAGGATAATTCTGTGTGCTTCTAATGGGCAAGAAAAATGTTCCCCATCTGACTGAAATAAGAATATTTCATACTTTACCTAAGTTTCAAGCAGCACCAACAATTTAATTCCCCAAATAAACAACTATTCTCCATTTCTGTTGTTTTGGAGCACCTAAAACTCTTCAATAAGGAAAGACGTTAAGATGAGATGTTAGCAATACTATCTGTCTCTTGAATACTTTTGTGTGCATAAAGTTCCTCCAGAGTTTTAGCAGACAGCTGAAAAGACTGGTGGTTTCCACCTTGGCGATAGCTTTGTGCAATTAAAAACAAAAATGTTTCTCTAAGTAGATGACACTAATTAACAAGCCACAGAAACAAGCAAAAGCCCCTTTAAGGCTACTACACAATGAGTGGTTCAATCTGACATTCACTGGAATAAAATGGTTGACAGGACAAAGATAAATCTTGAGGCACAGAACAAGATTTAAAAAAAAGAAAAAGTGAGAAGAGGGTTGAAAAGACTGGCAGACACTATCTGTCAGTACTGAAAGGCTTGAGTCACACAGATTGCTTTTAATTCCTTATTCTCTCATATCCTTGGTTAATGATAACTTTTTCTTTCTTATTTCTTCACGCAGCTTGGCCATGTAAATCCACCACAGAGAGGTGACACAATGATATAGATGAATATCTGGAGGGAGGAGGAAGGCAATTTTATTTTTCTTGGATCTATTATATGCTCCTAAATAATATATAAAGGAAAGTAAAGCCCTATTAAGAAATACTATGGTTACATTAGAGTAGCAGTTCTGTAGTAATATAACACAATAATCAAGTATTTTCAAAGACAAAAGTGGAGTTAAAATGATCCTTTTGAGTATAACTCTTACCCATTTGAATTCCACTATGTTTTCTTCAGTGGGAGGGAAAGCAGTGGAGCTGTTGCTCTTTCCTGGTAACTAGGCAGACTTGAGGCTACATGAGCAACTCTTACTGATGTATTGTTAACAAGTTACAAACATCACAAATAACCATAATTCCCTTTAAGTATGATTTTATTAACCATTACTATATTTTTAGATTTTGAATATGGATGTAATTTTTCTTTATTATGGTAGGAATACATGAGAAAAGCACAAGTACAGACTATACATCTGTATTATTCATGACCAAGAATGCTGCTATGAACTGTTTGGTGGATAATGACACAATAATTATGATTACCAAACCAAAGAAAATTAGATGATGCAAGTAACACTGCAAAACTGCTGGTTCTGTTACAGATGTGTTAGTTTTTTAGTTGTAGTATTGTAATTTTAAATTATGATATTGTGAAAAGTCTCTACTTGTTCACATTATTGCATTCCAAAACATAGATTTATCGTGAACGTTAGGTTGACTGCATTAAATTAGTCATTTTATTTTGACTTAAATTACAACTTTTTGAGATCTTTACGTGACTAATTTCATTATTCACGTGCTTGGAAAAAAATACATTTATGAATTCCATGCCCCCTCCTCCCCCACTCCAAAAATAAGGAAAGGATTTTGCCTTACTTCCCTACAAATGTTGCTGGGGTGGGGGGTTACAGCAAATTATGGTTATTAATGAATCGGTTAAACTACTCACATCATATTCATACATATACACACATACATATTCCACAAATGTAAAGTTTACCAACTTGACATAAAGTTAAACTATTTCCCACAGCTGAAATATAAAGATTTTCAAGCTGAAGTATAGTATGTTAGGTAACAACACCTTTTGGCAAAGATTGATACTGTACTTAGAGCACAGCTCTGCATGTAATAAATAGTCAGTAAATATAATCTGAATTTAATAATAATTCAGCTGCATAAATCAATCTAAATTCCCAAACAAACGAATAAGAAAGAAGCTAAGCTCAGGAGCCTACAATGTGCCTTTAGAGTGAAGATCTTGAGCAAGGAAACATTCACGTCCATGGCAACTATTTCCAGTATAGAATTTATAGATCTGTGATTGTTATTCGCTGTTAAATAAATCCAGCTCTCTAAGGTGGAGGATCCTCAAGCAGAGGTTGAGGAGAAGTGAAGCAGAGTCAGAGGTACCTACTTTTGCAAGTGACTGGAGGATGGGAAAGAAGGACAGCTTTACGTATCCATGAACCAGGGTAAAGCATGCCCCCCACCCCCCTTTAGCAATAGTTCTCAAACGTTTGGTTCAGGACCTCTTTACACTCTTAAAAATCACTGAGGACTCCAAATAGCTCTTGTTTAGGGGGATTATAACTACTAACATTTGCCATATTAAAAATTAAAAATTTAAAAACATAATTAACTTTCAAATAGTAATAAACCCATTACATATAAACAGAAATAATACATTTATTAAAAATAACTATATTTCTGTGAGGTCAGTTTTATATGTCTCCTTACATATGCTAATTCTCAACAGGGAAGAGGGGTTTAAGTACAGATCATATGTCATAGTGACTTCATAGGAAAGCCTGTGTTTCACCATTAAAAGACATCTGTAGCTCATTTCAGAGTGTTTCATTGAGAAAGAATTCTAATACCTAATTTCTCAGAGATTTAAAAATAAAATCTACACTACAGATACAAAAACTTACAATTGATATGATGATGATGATGATAGTAAGCTTGAGATTTTTCATACACATAGCTCGGGCAAGATTTCTGCTGGTAGTTTTGAAGGTGACAGACTAGAAAAAGAGCATAAATTGTTTAATTGCTGGCACTGACTACATGGGTGATTTGCAGTAATATTCTGCAAAAATTTTACTTTTATTAATTATATTTATAAAGTCCCAATGTTCTTTACCCCTTCCCTCTCTTTATAAGTAGAGACTGACCATTCATACTCACTAGTTTCCAAAAGCAGACCGCTACCAGGCCTATCATAAGCAGTATGAGCCCACTAGCAAGGCTTATCTCTTTTTTCTTCTCCACTGTAGCAACGCACCTGATGTTGAGCGCCAGAAGTGGTTCTTCCGCAAGTGAAAAAGCATTTCCTTCTCTATATTTCCAATAAGAAAGGCTCCCTTCTAAGTCAACTGGCTGCAAGCACATTTGCCTATTTTGCCCATTATATAATAATTCTGGGGCTTTGAGCCATAAAACCATGTTTGATTTCCATAGGAAGGTATGTGTTTACTTGTGTGATCACCAAAATCCATAGGACTTCATTCCTTTAGTTACCCGTTTTCATTTGCATGATCAATTTCTCAAGATGTACTAAACCATTCCCACCAGGACACAAACAGTTTAAAACAAAGAGGCAAACAAACAAGCAAACAATCAAACTTGCTAATAACCTAGCAATTCCACTCCTAGGTATATACACAACAGAGACCTATGCACAAGTTCACCAAAAGACATATATAAAAATGTTTCTAATAGTACAACTTTTCATACCTCAAACTGGAAACTACCTAAATGCCCATCAACTGTACAATAAATAAATTGTTGCAGAGACACACCATCGAATACTATACAGCAATGATTAATTCACAAGCTACTACAACATTTAAAAAATTAACAATCAACTTGTCACACGTGAATCTCACAAACATTATTTTGAGCAACAGAAACTTGACATAAATAGAACACCTGCTATATTTTATTAATCTATGGGGAGAAGTCAGGAAAGCCATTACCCTTGGAGGGGAGCAGTGACTAGATAAGGTCAGAAAGGGGCTTCTGGGGTGCTGGTCATGCTCTAGTTCTTAATGTAGGTATTGGTTCCACAGGTGTATTCCCTTTGTGAAAATACAAACTGTATGCTTATGACTGATGTACTTTTCTATATGTATGTTATACTTCAACAAATTGTTTTTTAAAAAAATCTATTCTCTTAACCATACAAGCATTTCCAGCTACACTCTCCACAAAGTCTCTCCAGCATAGCAGTTAGCAGGGGCACTAGCCCTTGGGCTTCACTTGATTCTATCCTACAGCTTCTGGAAGGAGTGCAGCTCTGCTGACACCTTAATTTCAGCCCAGTAAAACTGATTTTGGACTTCTGGCATCCAAAAGTGGAAGAGAATAAATTTTTGTTGTTTTAAGCTACCAAGTGTGCGATAATTTGTTACAGCAGCCACAGGAAGCTAATAACCATACATAAAAGGCTGAAAACCAAATATAAAAGAAGCTCTTAAAAGTAGCCAGAAGAGGGTCTAGAATCCTTATCTTGAAGATAGGAAGATGAAGAGGGATAGCAATCTCCTCAAGAGAACACATGGAAGCCAAATAAAAATAAAATGGCATTTTTAAAGCACTAAAAAAGAATTTGTACAAAACTGTCCATGTAAAAAAACTGTATCCAGAGAAAGCATCCTACAAAGAATGACAAAACAGATTTTCAGATAAATAAAAGCTTAGAGAATCTGGTGATCAGTAGATCAATACTATAAAAAATAATAAAAGAACTTCTTCAGTTTGAAGGGAAAAGGCCTTATATGGAAACAGAACTACAGAAGGCAATGAAGAACAACAGAAAGAATTACAGGCATATCTTATTTTATTGTGCTTCACAGATACTTCCTTTTTTACAAATTGAAGATTTGTGGCAACCATGCATCGAACAAGTCTATCAACACCATTTTTCCAATAGCATGTGCTCACTTCATGTGTCTGTGTAACATTTTAGTAATTCTTGTAGTATTTCAAACTTTCTTATTGTATCTGTTATGGTGATCTGTGATCAGTAATCTTTGATGTTACTTTATAATTGTTTTTTGGTGCCATGAACCATGCCCATATTAAGATGGTGAAGTTAATCGATAAATGTTATATATGTTCCCACTGTTCCACCAACCAGCCATTCCCCCTCTCCTTGGGCCTCTCCTAGTATTGAAATTAGGCCAATTAATAATCTTACAATGGCCTCTAATTGTTCTCACTTTATATCAAAAGATAGAAATAATTAAGCTTAGTGAGGAAGGCATTTTGAAAGCCAAGACAGGCTGAAAGCTAGGCCTCTTGCATCAAACAGCCAAGTTGTGGAATGCAAAGGAAAAGTTCTTGAAGGAAACTGAAAGTGCTACTCTAGTGAACACATGGATGATAAGAAAGTGAAATAGCCCCTTATTGCTGATATGAAGCAAGTTTTAGTAGTCCGGATAGAAGATCAAACCAGCCACAACATTCCCTTAAAGCAAGGACTAATCCAGAGCAAGGCCCTAACTCTTCAATTCTATGAAGGCTGAGAGAGGTGAGGAGGTTCCAGAAGAAAAGTTTGAAGCTAGCAGAGGTTGGTTCAGGGATTTAAGGAAAGAAGCCATCTCCATAGCATAAAAGTGCAAGGTGAAGCAGCAAGTGCTGATGTAGAAGCTGCAGCAAGTTTTCCAGAAGTTCTAGCTATCATAATTAATGAGGGTAGCTACACTAAGCAACGGATTTTCAATATATTAGGTAATTAAATATGAAATGTTCGATTTTGAATCAAAAGTTTACTTTATTATATCTCAAACAAGAAGCAGTGTAATTAATCAAAGTATGTGCCTAAACTATTGACACAGTTTCACCATCTTATCGGTAGCTTACTTAAACCAGCAGCAAAAAAACCTGGAGAGCGAGTGGCAATGAAATCGCCAAAGGCATTTTCCACAGCTTGTTGAGAATTGAGTATCTTTCCTTGCAAGAAGTGGTACAAAGCCTGGAAGAAGTGGTAGTCAGTTGGTGCAAGGTCTGGTGAATATGGTGGACGACAGAAAGCTTCCAAGTCTAGCTTCTGCAGTTTGAGCAACACTGTTTTTTGAGATATGTGGTCTTGTAAGAGGATTTTCCTGTCTCTATTGACCAATCTCAGCTGCTTAATCACAAGCATCCTCATCACTTCATCCAGTTAGTTGTAGTGGATATCCGCTTTAACTGAATGACCAGCTTTCATGAAGCTAGTGGATAATACCAGCATTGGACCACCAAACAGACACCATTAACTTTTTTTGATGAATACTTGATTATGGACTGTGTTTCGGCACTTCATCTTTATCCAATCATTGTGCCCAACACTTGGTCAAAAAGGATCCATTTTTCATTACACATAACAATACAATGAAGAAATGGTTCGCCTTTATGTTGTGACAGCAAAGAAAGGCAAGATTTGCGACGATTTCTCTTCTGACACTTGTTTAATTCACGCAGTACCCATCAATCCAGCTTCTTTACCTTGCCGATTTGTTTCAAATGGTCCAATATTGTTGGAATAGTAATGTCAAATCTTGTTGCTAATTCACACATAGGTTGAAATGGATTCACTTCCACTACAGCTTTCAGTTCATTATTATCCACCTTGGTCTCAGTCACCCACATGGCTCATTTTCAAGATTAAAATCTTCAGAATGGAACTTTTCAAACCACTGACATACTATGTGTTCATTAGCCATATTCTTCCCAAATACTTCGTTGATATTTTGAGCTGTCTGCACTGCATTGGTTCATGATGGAACTCATATTAGAAAATAACATGAATTTTTGATTTATCCATGGTTTCACAAAAATTGCTCTAAAAAAATTTGAAAGATAATCACAAACCAAAACATGTGTTTGAAAGAATGAGGATGTATCTTCACAATAATAATAAAAACAACAACAACAACAAAAAACCCCAAGAAGTGTCAAAATGAAATATCAGTGATATCAACTATCAAACTTAGTACTTAAGGAAATTGGACATTCCATACTTAATAATAGATGAAACAGTCTTCTATCGGAAGAAGATGATATCTAGGACTTTCATAGCTAGAGAGAAGTCAATGCTTGGCTTCAAAGCTTCAAAGGACAGGCTGACTCTCTTGTTAGGGGCTAACGTAGCTGGTGACATTAAGTTGAAGCCACCGCTCATTTGCCATTCCAAAAATCCTAGGGTCCTTAAGAAATATGCTAAATCTATTCTGCCTGTGCTCTACAAATGGAACGACAAACCTGGAAGACTGCATGTCTGTTTACAGCATACTTAAATGAATATTTTAAGCCCACTTTTGAGACCTACTACTCAAAAAAAGAGATTCCTTTCAAAATATTATTGCTCATTGCTAATGCACATGGTTAACCAAAATCTTGGATGGAGAAGTACAAGGATGTTAATGTTGTTTTCATGCCAGCTAACACAACATCCATTCTGTAGCCCATGAATCAGGAGTAATTTCAACTTTCAAGTCTTATTATTTAAGGAATACATTTTGTAAGGCTATAGCTGTCATAGTGATTCCTCTGATGGATCTAGGAAAAGTAAATTGAAAACCTTCAGGAAAGGATTCACCATTCTAGATGCCATTAAGAACATTCAAGATTCATGGGAAGAGGTCAAAATATCAACATTAACAGGAGTTTGGAAGAGGTTGAGGGTTTTCAGGGTTGCAACCCTCCTGAATGACTTTGACAGGTTGAAGACTTTGTGGAAGAAGTAACTGCAGATGTGGTAGAAATAGCAAGAGAACTAAAATTGAAGTGGAGCCTGAATTTGTGACTGAATTGCTGCAATCTCATGACAAAACTTGAACAAATGAGGAGTTGCTTCTTATGGATGAACAAAGAAAGTGGCTTCTTGAGATGGAATCTGCTCCTGGTTAAGATGCTGTGAATACTGTTGAAATGACTACAAAGTATTTAGAATATTACATAAACTTAGTTGGTAAAGCAGCAGCAGGGTGTGAGAGGACTGACTTCAATTTTGAAAGAAGATCTACTGTGGGTAAAATGCTATCAAACAGCATTGCATGCTACAGAGAAATCTTTTATGAAAGGCAGAGTCAATCAATACAGGAAAATTCATTGTTGTCTTAAGAAATTATCACAGCCTCCCCAACCTTCAGCAACCACCACCCTGATCAATCACCAGCCATCAACATTTAAGCAACAACCTCCACCAGCAAAAACATAGCTCACTGAAGGCTCCTGTGACTGTTAGCATTTTTTAGCAATAAAGTATCTTTTAATTAAGGTATGTTCATTGTTTTTAGACACAATGCTATTATATACTTAATAGACTACAGTATACTGTAAACATAACTTTTATATATATTGGAAAATCAAAAAATTCTTCTGATTTGTCTCATTACAATATTCTCTTTATTGTGATGGTCTGGAACTGAACCCACAATATCTCTGAGGTATAACTGTATAATGTTGTAAAGTTCTTGCATTGTTCGAGTTTTAGTAAAGCACTAATTTAAGATAGCCTATGATAAGAATGCATATTGCAATCTTTAACCACTAAAATTATAAAAAAATCATAACTAAAAAACCAACAAATTCAGCAGCATATTAAAAAGATTATACATCATGACCAAGTGGGATTTATTGCTGGAATGCAAGGATGCTTCAACAAATGAACATCAGTCACTGTAATAGAATGAAGTGGAAAATACCACATGATCATCTCTATTCATGCAGAAAAAGTACATGACAAAATTCAACACCCTTTTGTAATACAAAGACTCGATAAACTAGGAATAGAAGGAAACTTCCTCAGCATGAAAAAGGTCATATGTGAAAAACCCAAAGCTATCATCATACTCGACAGTGAAAAACTAAAACTTTTCCTCTAAGATCAGGAACAATGCAAGGATGCCTCCTTCCACTACTTCTATACAACATACTACTAGATGATCTAGACAGAACAATTAGGCAAGTACCATGCTATTTTAATTATTGAGGTTTTCTAATATATTTTGAAATCAGGAAGTGTGATGTCTCTACCTTTTTTCTTGCTCAAGATATTGCTATGAATATTCAGAGTCTTTTGTGGTTCCATATGAATTTTAGAATTGTTTTTCTATTTCTTTAAAAAATACCATTGGGATTTTGATAGGCATTGCAATGAATTTATAGACCATTTTAAAAATATTAAGCTTCCCAATCCATGAACACGGATGTTTTTTCATTTATTTGTCTTCTTTAATTTCTTTCAGAAATGTTTTATAGTTTTCAGTGTACAAGTTCTTCACGTCCTTGTTTAACTTTATTCCTAAGTATTTAATTCTTTATGGTTCTATTGTAAGTGGAATTTTCTTAATTTCCTTTTGGGATAGTTTTCTGCTAATGTGTAGAAATGCAATTGATCTTTATATGTTGACTATGTATCCTGCCACTTTACTGAATTCATTTATTAGTTCTTACAGGTTTTTTGGGTGTGTTTGTGTGTGTGTGCATGTCTGTGTGTGTGTGTGCAATCTTTAGGGTTTTCTACATACAAGATGATGTCATTTGCAAACAAAGATAACTTTACTTCTTCCTTTCCAATATGGATGCCTTTTATTTCTTTTTTCTTGCCTAATTTCTCCGGCTCTGGCTTCCGTACTATGTTGAATAGAAGTGGTGAGAGTGAGCACCCTTGCCTTATTCCTGATCTTAGAAGAAGGCTTTTCGTTTTTCATTGTTGAGTGTGATATTAGCAGTGGGTTTTTCATATATGGCCTTGAGGTAAATTCCTTCTATTCTGTTGAGAGTTTTTATCATGAAACGGTGTTAAATTTTGTCAAATGCTTTTTTCTGCATCTTTTGAGATTATCATGTGATTTTCACCTTTCATTCTCTCAATATGGTACATCACATTAATTGATTTGTGTATACTGACTCGTCTTTGCATCCAGGGATAAATACCACTTGGTCATGGTGTATGATCCTTTTAACGTACTGCTGAATTTGGTTTACTAGTTTTTTATTGAGGATTTTTACATCTATGTTCATCAGAGATACTGTTCTGTAGTTTTCTTGTAGTATCTTTATCTGGCTTTAGTGTAAGGGTAATGTTGGCCTCATAAAATGAGTTTGAAAGTATTTCAACTCTTCGTCAATTTTTTGGAAGAGCTTAAGAAGGATTGGTATTAATTCTTCTTTAAATGTTTGGTAAAATTCACCAGTGAAGCCACCTTGTCCTGGGCTTTTCTTTGTTGGGAGGTTTATAATTACTGATTCACTATCCTTATTTGCTACTGGTCTATTCGGGTTTTCTATTTCTTCATCATCAATCTTGATAGGTTGTATGTTTCTAGGAATTTATTTCTTCTAGGTTACCCAATTTGCTTTATATATTTGCTCATAATAGTCTCTTATGATCCTTTTTATTTCTGTGGCATCAGCTGCAATGTCTCCTCTTTCATTTCTGATTTTATTTATTTGAGTCAAGAAGAATGAAGCATTTTGGAACAAAATTAAGAATAATTTTGTTATATTATAATAATATAATTATTATACTCGTTATATTATAATAATATAATTATTATACTCATTATATTATAATAAAATATGAGTGGAAAGACATATACTGGAAACTACAAAACACTGCTGAAAGAAATTATAGATGATCTAAATACATGAAAAGATATCCCATGTTCATTGATTAGAAGATATATATTGTTAAGATAATACTACCCAAAGTAGTACAAGCTTTAGAAAATTGTTTCTGTATACTGATTATGTTTTTCAAATCAAAGCTACCTTAATGGCTATTAATGGATCATGGCTTTTTTCTATGCTTCATTGAATCACATAATAGAGATGAGAAAGGAAAAAAAAACACCAAAATACTGAATTTAAGGCATTTTCCTATTATGTAAGCCATCATCCATAGTTTCTCTACTTTACATCCTGAAAAATATTATCATATTCTATACTTACTGAATCCACAAGATTTTCTGTTTTGTCTATCAATAATTCCAATCTTTCTCCCCGCTGAGCTACCAGATCTGAAAATATTGGAAAAACAGAAAAGATCAGATTTTATATTGCATATCTGCTATTTTTGTCTTTGCTTAAATCTAAATCTGATTTTAATTACCGCCGGTATTCTTGATAGCTCATATGTACTACAGAAGTGCTTATACCTTTAAGTAATAAGAGTTTTTAGTAAAGCTTATCAATTAAAGTAGGCATTGGCAGTTTTTTTCTATAAAGGGTCAGATACTAAATATTTTAGGCTTTATGGGCCACATGGTCTGTGTTGTAATTACTTAACTCTGTTTGACATAAATGATATGTAATGAATGGGCACAGCTGTGTTTTAATGAAACTTTAACTAGAAAAACAGGCAGCAGACCAGACTTAATCCAAGGGCCACAGTTTGCAAATCTCTGAATTAAGGGTATGATCTGAGAGTAAAAAAACATAGGACCCCTAAAATGGGTAAAAGACACTTCCAGAATTGCAGCTTGGAGAGCTCCTCAGACTCTCTCTCCAACAAAACCACCACAACTGCTGAAAATTATAAAAAAAAAAAAAACAACAACCATTTTTTAAAAGTCTCTGGAAACTGTATATGTACTATCCTAGGGGCATACAGCAAATAGAGAAACATTTATACAAGAAAATCAGCTAATTATCTATAAGAACTGTGAGAGTCTATGGCATTTGAGTCATGACCTGTTCCCTCCCTCAGCTCACTGAGATGAGAGCTCTACTCTTGGCAAGTACAGTCTGGGGGCTTCCTTTCTCCCCAGGTCCCAGTCGAGGTCTACATTCTCTCCCCAGGAAGAGCAGGTCACTAGCATTTTTCATCCCACTCTGCCCCTAGCTCTGTGTTGCAGAAGCTCTGTTCCAGGAAGCTATAACTGATAGGTCTAGGGCTCCTTTCTTCCTTTTAGCCCCCTCTCATAGGGCAGAAGCTCTACCTCAGGTGATAGACCAAGAATACTGGGCCCTGACTGCCTCTGCCCCAACTTACTCATAGAGTAGAGTTTCCATGCTAGGAGAAGCAAGCCAAGAAGAACGTTACCCCTCACTACACTGGCAAAGCAAGGATGTCACTCCAAGAGAACCAGTTCACTGTCCTTGCTCATACATAGCTCCACAGCAGTGTCTCTGAGATTGTTCCCAGGGGGAGAGGTAGGCTTTATTTGGAATAGAGTATGGGGAAATTAAAGCCTAAGGGTGCTGTCAAAAACCATGGAGATTTTGAAGGTAAGCAAATAAGTCTGGTAGCTTCGTAAGAACAACAAGCTAAACTGTAGGCCACCTAGAAGTTTAACAGAGATAACCAAGGAAAGAGATAGCTAAGAATGGGCGTCCGGGGTCAGAGCAAGTCTCCAAGGCTGCCCTTACAATGGAGGCCAAATCTAATTAGATGTGACTAGAGCAATTTATGTCTGGAGCACTATCGAAAGCAATAGAGCAGGCTGGGCGTGGTGGCTCATGCCTGTAATCCTAGCACTCTGGGAGGCCGAGGTGGGAGGATTGTTTGAGCTCAGGAGTTTGAGACCAGCCTGAGCAAGAGCGAGACCCTGTCTCTACTAAAAATACAAAGAAATTAGCTGGACAACTAAAAATATATAGAAAAAATTAGCCGGGCATGGTGGCACATGTCTGTAGTCCTAGCTACTTGGGAGGCTGAGGCAGAAGGATTGCTTGAGCCCAAGAGTTTGAGGTTGCTGCAAGCCAGGCTGACGCCACGGCACTCTAGCCCGGGTAACACAGTAACACTCTGTCTCAAAAAAAAAGAAAAAGCCATAGAGCAAATAGCCAGCAATTAGGACTACCGGTAGCTGGGTGAGATACCAGAGGCCAGCTAGAAGCTAAACAGGAAAATCAAAAAAGAGAAACCTATAGAGAGCTGTGTCATTCCAGAGTAACTATTAGCATGCTCAAGGCTGTTCCTTCTGAGGAGTGACTTTAGAGGATACATACCGTGGGAGAAATAGATTTCAGTGAAAAATTCAAGCCCAGCCACTAAATAAATAAATAAACAAACAACAAACCCTGGGGCATGGGACTCACTACCCAGAGTTGCTACAATACAGTATCTAAAATGTCCAATTTTCAACAAAAAATTATAAGATATGAAAAGAAACAGGAAACTGTGACCCAAACACAGGAAAAAGAGTGGGGAATAGAAACTGACTTTGAGGGGGTCCGGCTGTAGGACTTAGCAAAAACTTCAAAGCAGTCATAATAAATATGTTGAGTGAACTAAAGGAAACTACCTTAAAGAAGTAAAGGAAGTTACGATGACAATGTCTCAGCAAACAGATCAATAAAGGGATAGAAATTATAAAAAAAGAACCAAATGGAAACTCTGGAGCACAAAACCAGAAATGAAAAATTGACTGGAGGAGGTCAACAGTAGATTGCAGCAGGCAGAAGAAAGAATCAGCATACTTGAAGACAGGTCAATTGACAGTGTGCATTCTGAAGAACAGGGAGGAAAAAAAAAAAAGGAATGAAGATAAATGACAAGGCCTCAGGGAAACATGGGACACCATAAGTGCACCAACATGTGAATCTTAAAAAAGTTGGAAGATTAATATTTCCTGATTTTAAAACCTACTACAAAGCTACAGTGATCATGACAGTGTGGTACTGGCATAAATATAAATGGAACAGAACTCAAAGTCCAGAAATAAAGCCATACATCTATGGACAACTAATTTTTGATAAGGGTACTAAGACCATTCAATGGAGAAAGAAAAGTCTTTTCAACAAATGGTTCTGGGACACCTGGATATACATATTCAAGAGAATTAAGTCGGACCCCTTCCTTACCCAATGTACAAACATTAACTCAAAATAGATCATAGACCTAAAGGTAAGAGCTAAAACTATAAAACTCTTAGAAGAGAACACGGGAGTAAATCTTCGTGTTCTCAGCTTAGGCAATAGTTTCTTAGAAATGACATCCACAGAGGAGCCAAGATGGCCAGCTAGAGACACAGCTTGTTGGACCATTTGGGCAGAAGAGTAGACGGCTGGACTGAGGAGAGTGGAGAACAATAACTGCTCAGAAGTGAACCACAGGGACAGACACCAGTGGAGTCTGGGAACCCCACCAAGAGGTGCTGTGAAGCTGAGAGAGAGGTGGACAGAAAAGAAATCACAGGCATGAACCAAATCCAGGGAAGCCTGGAGCCCAATGAAAGGGTAAGGGGGCTCGCCTCCCCCAGTGGGTGTCTCAAGCCAGCACTGGCACACAGGGCTCTCATCCCATGGGAGAGTGCCACGAGGGACCAGAGAGCTGGCATCCCTGCATCTGGACGTCTCCTCCTCTGCACCTCCTCCATTATTCCTGGTATTCCAGAAAATAATTTTGGCTCAAGCCAGCTTGAAGCTGTGGCCCCACCCTCCCCATAGGACCTATGAAAGCGCTCTGTGCTGTGAGATGTATTTCCGAGCAACGGGGGCGCATTCCCAGCTGAACCCACCTCAGAGAGCGTAGCAGCCACAGCAGCAGCTGGGACAGATGGGTGGGAACTAGTGCCCCCAATCCCCGACATGAGAGGGTGCAGGGAGACCACAGCCCCTCCCCCACTATAGTGGCCACTAGAGTGCTCAGTGCTGAGAACCCTGCTTTTCAGCTTCAGGGGCCCTTCCTTCCCAAGCTGGAGGTGGCAGAACAGCTACACTTTGCGATCTTCCTGCCCGCAGGCATTTGGTGCCTTCACCTACTGACGGCTCAGACAGGCCAGCTGAATCTGGTGCCTCCTGGTTGCAAGAGCAGGGTGGGGAGATGTAGAGGAGAGGTCATGGCTCCAGGCTTGGGTGGTAAGAGAGAGCCCTCATGGCTATACCCAATGGGAGGACAGAGGAGCAGGAAGCTATGAGTGTATGCCATCCCTCACCCCCACTGGATAATTGCCATACTGGAGAAGGCTGCGGCACAGGGACTGAATTTGCATAGGCCCTGGTTCCCATGATAACTGGAGCAGTGGCTCCTTCCACCACCTACTTCAATAGGAGTACATCTTGATCCAAGAGATTCATGAGCCACCACTAGTACCCCAGTGGGAGTGTGCCCCTGGTAGAGACTTCTGTGGATATAAAGGCCTACTCTCCTCTCACTGGGGTCTAGTGATGGAAAAGGGGTACAAAATTGGAGATCCCCCTACCTGCCAGCATCATGCAGAGATGCACTCCAGCAGGTCAGACACAGAACTGTGGGGTAGCCCGAGAGCTGGTATTGGGTGGGGAGGTAACTCATGTGGACCGATCGGAGGGGAAAGTGCTGTGGAGTTCCAGGAAACAAGTGTATAGGGAGCACATCCTACCCCACAGAGAAACCAGGTTAGTAGACAGGGATGGAAAAAGCCTGGCTAGGGGCCTCAGCAATCACATGATTAGGCCACTCCCATCAGGAACAGCTATCCAGAGACAGTCCTGAATTCCATATCAGTGGCTCCCCCTAGCAGCCAGATAAGCAACCTGTGAGCTCTGTAGAGGCTCAGCAAAGCCCCTCACTCACGCTCTTGCATCCCAGCTGTGCTCTATCTTGCTCCTCCCCCTACTCCAGGGGGAGTAGGGTCCAAGCAACTCCTGGGAGCTACAAGGCCCCTCCTAAAACGCTGGGCATTTGTGTACCCCACCTAGGGGACAAAGCCTACCAGGAAAACAAAAGATTTCCTCAGCAACTGGCTCCTCCACGTAAACTACAATCAATGAAAGTGGGAACAACCCCATAGCTAAACATAATGCCTTCCATCTCAAGCTATTAGGGAGTGGCAGACTCGTACACACAAGAACAATCCACCAGCTCAGAGATTAAACTGGGGGACCAAACTCACCACACTCCATTGGGAAGAGGTGAAGAAAACAGGTCATAGATACCCCAAGAGGCTTATCAAATCTACAAAAACACCCCAAAGGCAACTCAGGATCAGCATTCCTCTCCCTGGCATGGTCGGGGATCGATCTTTGGGGACTTGGAGACAGGGCCATAGACCAGCCCTAGCACCCCTAGCTCTCAACCAAGAGGCCAGATGAG